TTYATATCCATAGATAATCTAAAATATTCAATACCTGTAACGTCCATAGCCCATAAGTCCTTTATATTCACATGAGAAGACTGATGAACACCTGCTAAATATAATAAACCRATTAGCGCTTTTATTTCTGTTAGACTAGTCGGTCTTGCATCACGTGAACGATCAAACTTTGGTCTTATACGGTCAAGATAAATATTTGTGTATGTAACTATTTGTTCCAAAATAGAATCTGAAAAAAATAAATTTCACGATTCTTCAACACTATTTGCATTTTTAGCAAGCCCTTTTACTCCAGGTACATGTCTAACTATATTATGTCGTCTTATTCTATTACTTTTTGGTGCAGGACAATATTTCCAAAAAGTTTTACCATCTTTCCCTATAAATTGAGGTCCGTTCGACCAATTAGAAAATAAATAGGTGTCATTATCTTCATAATCACCGTCTAAAGATTGTTCAGAATCACTATTATGACTTATATATTCTACCTCATCAACTCATTCTTCATCACTGCCATCGATTTCGTCAAAATCTCGGTATTTCCATCATCAATATTTTCGATAAGTAAACGAATTTAATTGTCGTCCATTCTAATGAAAAAATAATATAATGTAAAACAAATATATTGAAAATATAGTGCGACTAAAACAAAAAAATACCTGGTAAAAATAAAATGTAACCATACTTACATTTATAAATGTTTTATCTGTATTATACTCGTAGTTACACATAGTATGGCGAACCAATCTTGCCAGTCACAATAAAAATAAAATATTCATTTACGTTTTATCGATAAGGAATAACGTCTTATCAACTATAAGAAAGTTAACATTAGTTAAAATTAAATTGTGTTTCAATGCCACAGTATAACACGTACACGGTCTTTGAGACCGTGTTTTAATAGGTAATGGACTTTGAACCCTTCTATAGTACAGGCAACAAATCGTATACAGTTAGGAATTGTATCTAATGTTAGTTTATCATCTAATTAGAAGGTACCTAGATTGGGTTAGGTTAATATTTCGTATTCTTGAAACAATGAACAAAATTCAAAAAGCCCGGTCTTTTTGATCGTGAAGCGTGAACTCTAGGGTTTTAACAACATGAAACATTGAAAAAAAATATTTTCAAAAACATTGATACTTTTWGAAATAATGAGTGGTTCATGATAAAAAAATCACCCTGTATATAACGTATTGAACCATTTATGATACCATACGATTGAAGTTGTACTATCAGAATCTACCATTATCACGGACATTTATTTGATACAGATAAAATAAATCGTACATCAATTTGATGCACATTGAAATGTGCAAGGGGACCGAAAGGGTTAATAGTTAATGTTATTAGCTGATCACGAAATTGCTTAAAGTTTAAATTTGTGTTAAAATGTTATGGTAAATAAAATATGAATTTCATGTAGTAATGTCTAACAAATAGAAAAAATAATGTTTATTGCATCAAGCCCAATTTTCTTGGAGACGAATAATCGCTGACGATTTGAGCATTGCCACTCATGCAGTTATTATAGTCCACTATTTCTGCTGGTTTATTTTTGAGTTTGTCGTATTTGTTTCTTGAAAATTTAATTTTTGGCTGATTTTTAGTGGTTAAACATAAAACATAACGTTTATCCTTTCATTTGGGTACGTAAACATGTTTATTGTGTCTCAAAATATGATCAACACGTTTTAATTTTTTAGTGGTAACTTCCTTTTGGGTTTCCTCTGCGATTGGACTCAAAGTACTAGTTGTGTGGGTTTTTTTCTAGTAGAGTATTTATTACTAAGACATGCTATTATAAAATTTGTCTATATAAAGGCTTATATATGTGCCTTTAATTCAAAAATATTTTCATAAATTTAAAGACAATATTGTCTACATTAGATACTCTCTCCTCAATTGCTAACTATGTTTATTTGCTCTTGTACAGTTCAAAGCCGTAACTGTCTGTGTGGATGGGTGAGAGTCCAGACCCCCCCCCCCACTACAACCCAAATTTTTTTTCTAGTTTCGGCCTTGCTTGTACTATCGACATTTAAAACGTAACCATCATGAGTACATATTTCATAGAATCTTATAGAAGTTTAAAGCACAATAAGCATTTTTTCTTTATTATGCATTGTCACCATACTAATCTAACTCGATGTAATTAAAATAACTTGTCAAATGATAGATTTGAATCAGGAAAATATGACTTGAAAGTTTTGAATAGGCATATCAAATACTGGATTAAGTTTTTTAATGGCACCTTACTAATGGATTTGGATCATTTGTATATCCTACATTAAAACATATCAATAATTTCTCAAATCTCCATCCTGRCATAATCTGACAAGTAATAAGATAATAAAATAAGAGAATATTTGAAAACATTTCTCCAACAACTGAAAATTTTATGGAACCTCCAAGCATACACATTGGCTAAAGTGTTGTACTTCTTCAGAGGTTGTACGATTAAAATATGTAGCTCTACTTCCTTTTTTTTGATGATGACATTGGAAACTCGTATTTTCTCTATATTTATTAATAGAAGATACAAATATTTCAGTTATTTTTTCGATCCAAATTTATTTAAAAATTCAGTTGGATTTTTACGAGTTCTTTCATAAATTTATAATTTTATTACTATTGAATATCTACTAAAACCAAAAGCTGAAATGTCTAAATAATTGTTCACCCAAATATGGTTCTTGGTATTATAACACCATGAACCCGTGTATTTTGTAGTCAGTTAAAAATCCTACCTATTATATGTCTCAATTCTCAAACTTTGTGTTTAATTCATTACCTGTGTTTATGCTAGCAGTATATTTTTATATACAGATAACGGTTAAAATACAACGATATTCTATTTTTATATATATATTAATATTATATAGTTG